GTTGAGCGTGACTAAAATAGAGTACTTGGCATGCAAGTTCAATGACGCACCATATGATCAAGCGGATGTGGAAGTGAGGATTGATATACAAGTCATCCCCTTGAGAGGAAGCTGAAAGTATCTTGGGTCAATAATCCAAGGAAATGAGGAGCTCGATGATGGTGTCACGCATCGTATTAGAGCGGTTTAGATAATTGGAGGCTCGCATCTAGTGTCCTATGTGATAAGAATGTGGCACCAAGACTTAAAGGTAAGTTCTATAGAGTGGTTGTTAGAGCAACTATGTTGGACAGAGTGTTGGTCAGTCAAGCTCATACCTTAAGAAAATAAAAGTAGCGGGATATGATTAGAATGCTTAGATGTGTGGTCATAATAGGAGAGATAAAATTAGGAACGAAGATACACGAGACAAGGTGAGAGTGGCTTCCGTGGTGGACAAGATAAGGAAAGTAAGGATGAGATAGTTCAAGAATGTAAAGAGGGGAGTACAGATGCCCTACCGAGGAGATGCGAGAGGTTGGCAGTGATAGGTCTAAGGAGAGGTAAAGGTAAACCAAAAAAGAATAAGGGAGAGATGATTAGACAGAACATGACACGTCTTCATCTCACTAAGGATATTATCCTCGATAAAAGAGCATGAATGTCGAGGATTATGGTAGAAAGTTAGTAGGTACTCGCGCGATTCTTCTCGGTGGGAGAGCATGGTTCTAGTTTGGAGCACCTTATCTGCTACTTCTACTCCTTATCAGTATTACTATTTATTCTTTGATTGCTAGCTTATTCTCCAATTTAGATCATTTTGCATCGCCTATGGACAAATTTGAAACTTTTTAGAAATTGCCGGTCCTAAAAAGTTGTTGTCATATGATCAAAAAGTCATGAATTTGAACTGTGAAAACAGTCTTTTGTAGAAATACAAAATAAGGCTGCGTACAATAAACTCTTGTGCTCTAGCCCTTCCCCGAACCCTGCATATAACGGGAGCCTAATACCCTAAATGTCAGTCCCAACTTCCTGAAGACTTGAAACGAAATCAAAAGCATCACTGTTTCTATCAAAAGAGAGTATACAATACAAATGCAGTTCATGATTCACTAAACAAATTTAGCATGAAATCACATCAATGTCCATATAGCTGGTTAGGATTCCTACAACTTGCAAAGTTAGTCTTGTCATAGCACATTCTAATAATGCAGTAATTAATCCTCACACCGTCATGGGTTAAAGCTGATCTTACACAGCTACTATTTTGGCAATGATTTTACATAACATACGAAATTATTATTTCACATGTCAAGTTTAATACCATGAATCTTTTGCTCTCAAGCAAATGCATGAATTCATATGACAAACGTCACATTATTAGTTCTTTGTCGTGACTATGAGAACATATTGTTAAGTTTTTTAAATTAAATAAAGAGGTGTGAATGGAAAATGGAGGGAAAAAAAAAAGTTTGAAGTGTTCCTTTTACTGAGGCACTTTATCCCTCATCGTAAAATAGAAAGAAATTTTTTGTGCTTAAATAGAGAAGCACGTCTTCTAACTCTTAAAAGAATTGAGAAGAAGTTATGCCTCGGGCCGTCGTTACACCTGTCGAATGGGTCGGATCGACCCACAAACCGGCACACATAACCCATTAAAATTGACCCTTTGACCGGCCCATGACCCACAAAACCCTAACCGGACCAACCCATTAATTTAAGGCCATGGGCCGTGCTATACTATTTTGACCCACTGAACCAGACCGGACATGAACCGGTAGCTGACCCACGAGTCAACCCACCCGGACCAGCTCGGTAAGAATTATTTTAAAAAATATAGAGTATATTAGAGTTTGAAGAGTTTTAAAAATATAGAATTAGAGTATATTAGAATATCATTTTTCTTGTGTATTTGACTATTAGTTATAGAAATAGTCGAATTCCATATGTTTCTCAAGTTTTAATGTTAATAAAGTATGGTTTTCTTTCATTTTTATTCTAGTAGGCTTCAAGAACGTGTAGTAATTTCAAGTTCGTATATATGTATAAAAGTTTGAAATTTTTATCATTTATTAGTTTTTTGACTTATATTGGATTCGGCTCATTAGGACCGAGTTAAGGGGTTACGGGTCCGGGTTGGGTCAAGAAGTTTTGATTAATGGGTCAAATCCGGACCGGCCTCTATACGAAAGTGAATCGGACCGGTTAAGGACCCACGTGCCAAGAGTCAACAGGTTCGGGTCTGGGTCGGGTTGACCCATTTAACAGGCTTAGCCGTCGTCGTCGCTATGTAATTTCCATTGTCGGTATTATAGAATAGTTGTTCCGTTCTATCCTGGGAGCAATTAATAATGTTGGTTCCTAAAAATAATATATATATATATATATATATATATATATATATATATATATATATATATATATTAGCTAGAAATTATAATTAATTTTTACCGAACGACCAATTTTGTATTTTGCTCGGGAAAAATCTGACAAGTCAAGGCAACAAGTTAAAATGACGATAGGGACAGGTCCATGGATCCATAACAAGCCCAACGAGTGTAACTAGTTTTACAAGCTGGATATGGCCCACAACATGACTGGCTGTAGGCCCAATTGTCTGTACCTCCTTCTTACTCACCACCTACCTTGTCCTGGGTTTGTTAGGTTTTGAATTTTCCACTAGCTTAACCATTGACCATCTTCAATAATTATTTTTGGCTACACATAGCTTTTGTTCTTTCTATTGATAGACTATTATACCATTCTATAGTAGATCATGATTCAATCAGCGTTTGCCATAGAGATACGGACATTCCTCTTGTCCAATCTTCAAAAAAAAAAAAAAACAAACGCGCAAAGTCCTTGCTTTTGAGTCCAAAATAATCATTTGAGAGTTGCGATTCTTAGTCCATTTTTTCTTCTATTTTCATTGTGTAATTCTTTATTTATGTATTTCTAGAGTACGAATGTGTCACTTCTTACAATTGGATCCTATTGATAACCCGCAAAGTCCTTGCTTAAATGAATCATTTGAGAGTTGAGATTTTTAGTCCCTTTTTTTCTCTCTTGGTACTTTCATTGTGTAATTCTTTGTTTATGTATTTCCAGAGTATTAGTGTGTCACTTTTTACAATTGGATCCTATTGATAGCACGTAGAATGAATATGTCATCTTGATAGTAATAGACTGATAGTCCTACTTCGTTAGATATTTATTTTGGTACTTGCAATACGAAACAGGTTAACAAAAGTTTGACCTATGATTTTAAACTTACATTTGGGTGCTTTGTCACAATCCAGAATTTTCACCTTCGAGATTATGATGGCGCCTAATAATTCACTTACTAGGCAAGCCAACGTTAGAATAATTCGAACCCCCTTTCGCGCCTCTGGCTCCGCCACTGATCATGATTGTTTTTCCCTAGCCAATTATAGCTTCTGGTGGTGGTTAAACATTTCTGTCTTAAGGTAAGGTCCTAACTCATGACTAGAGCTGTCAAAACGAACTAGCCCAGCCCAAGCCTCATGGCCTTTTAAATTTGGTGGGCTAGGGCAGGCCCGCCCTCCATCTATATGGACCTTAAATGGCCAGCCAAGCCCAGCCCTAAGAGGCCCGCGGGCTAGGGCGGACCTGCCCTTCAATTTTTTTAGAAAAAAATATTTCTCCAAATCTTTAGATATTTTTTCGTGATATAATCTCTTGATCCATGAACGACTTCTGTTTATTTAGAGTGTACAAGAATCTTGATATTTGACAAGGAATCTCGTAATTGAAATGCAAATTCTCTATATCTCTAGCTCTTTTTTTTTTAGCGTTACATGAATATTTTTTAGTACTTTTCTTTCACTTTCCTTAGGTTCAGGAATTGCTTCAATAAGTTTATATGTTGAGGTTTTTAATTTTAGGTTTAATATTATTTGTCGATTTCATCATTATAGTCCATGAAATTCTTAAAATTCATGATATTTGCTAGTATTGTCAAATTTTTTTAGGTACTAAAACTTGACCTTTTTCTATACTGAAGAGCAATTTAATAATTAATAATATATTAAAGTAACCAAACTGATCATTGGCCACTTAAAATAATATTTCTTTTGAAAAAAATATTATTGGCCACTTAAAACTTTCCTAGTTCGTCGTTAATTAAGCAAAAGAAAAACTATTCTTGTCATACTACATGCATATCAAAAATATAAATTCTAGTTGATATGGAAGAATAAATGAGCAATCTAAGGTTGGAAAATGGGGATTATAGTTAATATTTTTTTTAGTTTTTATTTTTTTTAAATATTTAAATTTGAATATAATTAATTTTTGGTCCACGGGCCGGCCTAGGCCCAGCCTCGGTCAAGCCTCAAGGGCCAGCGGGCTGACTTGGGCCGGGCTTATAAGCATCAGTTTTAAATGGGCTAAAAAAATTCCAACCCAGCCCTACCCAAGTAGCAGGCTGGGTTTGGCTGGCCTCACTGGCCAAGCCCATTTTGACGGCTCTGCTCATGACACATGTATTTCGGTAATTCCGGAATATCACGATTACAGACTATGGGTCATTGGTCAACTAAGTGATCTAAGGCTTTTAACTTGGGCCACTCATTGTTGACAGGCCCAAATGAGATGATGGCCAATCGGAGAAATGATAGTAGAAATGATACCAGGTACTCACTCTAGAGGGAAGCTATTTAGGAATTAGTCAGTGCGTTCTGAATTTCAATTTGTTGGTACTATTTTTCAGGACAAAAATGTCCTTAGTTGTCCAGAAGTTAAGGTTTTTGATTTAAAATAAGTATTGATTAATCTCTAAATAGCATACGTGAGAATGGCTATGTGTGCACTTGCCCCAAAATGATTCGACCATACTGTCTGGGCCTTAGCCAGAGTGACACTGTGGCATATCTGTGGCTACCAACAGATAATTTCTTTTTGGAGTTTAACATGACACAAATTGACAGTGTACACGAAAAAAAAAAGAAGAGGATCTTCTACTCCTAAGTTATCAGAATAATATAAGGTAACTAATATAAACCAACAATTTGCTTTCTCAGCTTGAGGACTGTATTAATTTAGTAAATGTACTAGGATTAAACTTCTAATAAAGGAGTTTTATTGCTTCTAAGTTATGAAAATATAATACATGGTAAATTTGCTTTCTGAGCTTCACAACTTCACAATTTTAGATCAAACTTCTAAGCCATTACTTCACGATCATCGCCATCGTGGCAATTAGCCACATCTGCAGTTCTCCTGCTTTGTACATTCTTGTAGGAATAGCTCCTAGCAACAAAGACATAGATGCACAAACTCACTGCTGTTATAGTAGCTAACAACAAGTAGAAATAGTCCAGTCTGCTGCTATTCAGATCTTTTCCAAACCAACTCTTACCACTTTTTTCTGTAATATGATCCACAATTGTGATCAACATACTGCTTAGGAAATTTGCAGCACCAACTACGCTAAGGTAAAATGCAATGCCTAAACTTCTCATTGTATCAGGTACTTGATCATAGAAGTACTCTTGTAATCCCACTAGCGCGAATCCATCTCCTATACCAACGAGAAAAAACTGAGGTGCTAACCAAAATACACTCATTGAAATTGAACCCTCAAGTAGATTTTTCTCAACAATTCTTAGTCTCTTTCGTTCAACCAATGCTGCAATGATCATAGTTGTAATCGAAAACATCATTCCAATGCCAATCCTTTGAAGAATACTAATGCCTCTTTCGTTTCCTGTTGCCTTTCTTAGCAGAGGTACGAGGATTTTGTCGTAGATAGTGACAGTTACTATCATGCCAATAGCTCCAATGCCATACATTGAAGCTGGTGGAATCTCGAAATTGTGAGTGATCTTTCGGTTAAGTGTCACGCCTTGTTTGATGAAAAATGTTGAAGCTTGTGCTATACAAATACCAAATGGTAAAGTGGTTAGCCAAATTGGTGTCATATTGATAAGTAGCTTCAATTCCTCTACTTTGGTCACAGTAGAAAGTTTCCATGGATTCTGCTTTTGCACTATTGTATCTTGTGTCTCATCAAAGACTGCAGCTTTATCAAGGAACCTACAAGTAGAATAACAAAAGATAACGTAAAAAGGGCAGTCCGATGCACTAAGTTCCCGCTATGCGCTGGTACGGAGAAGGACCGTACCGCTAGGGTGTATTGTACGCAGCCTTATCCTGCATTTCTGCAAGAGGCTGTTTCCACGGCTCGAATCTATTGTACGCAGCGTTACCCTGCATTTCTGCAAGAGGCTGTTTCCACAGCTCGAAACCGTGACTCCCTGGTCACATGGCAGCAACTTTACCAGTTACGCCAAGGCTCCACTTCCAACAAAAGACAACATATATATACTAAAATGTAAATCAGATCAATTCAAGACTAAGTTGAAAACTTACTTCAGACTTTTGGTATGACAAAGCCTCCTTCTATTAGCTTCTGACTTTTGAGTTTCATGCAAACAAGCTGGATTTGAAGGATGTGGAAGATTTCTTTTTCTAGTTGCAGCAACAATAACTTGTAGCATTGTAGTTAAGGGACTTTCAGTTACTTTTCGATAACGATAGAATGGCCTGCCTACACAAAAGATGACTAAACTAGAAGCCATAACTAATGTGAGGATCAAATCTGCTATACCCCAACTAACATGATCTTGTACATAAACAATAAGAGTAACACCAAGTAATACACCAGAGCAAAGTCCAAAACTCCACCAATTGAAGAAAGACATTTTCTTCCTTCTTTCTTTAGGATAATCATCATCAAATTGATCAGCACCAAAGCTTTCCAAAGAAGGCTTGTGCCCTCCTGTTCCAATGGAGATTAAGTAGATTGCAAAGAAAAAGATCACTACATGGATTTTTCTAGGTTCTTGACAGATGTCACTCCCACAAGGTTTCAAGCTTGGTACCACACTTGACATTGTCAACAGAAGCAAGCCCTGTTTAACAGAATAGTTTTAGTTGTTTCATAAGCAAATCATGATTTGTTGATTTATCTGTATGAAGAACTTAATGATTCTAGGATAAAAGATTGTGTCTAGAAAAGTTATAATTTGATCACAGTGTTTGTAAAGTAGAATTCCAGAAGGTCATTTCCAATCTTTGAATAAAATATTATTTTCCGTTTTATTTTATATGATAGTATTTGATTGAACACAAAGTTTAAGAAAAAAAGAAAGAAAGAAAGAAAGACAGACTTTTGGTACAGATGAGTAGTACTCGTAGAACTTATGGTTTTAAACATGTCATATAATATTTCTAGGGCTGTAAGAGCATGTCAAGCATAAATTAAAAATTTAAAGCTAGAAAGTTGCCAAATATAAAAGTACATCTTTTTTTGGGGACAAAACCAAAAAAAGTAAGGAGTATCATATAAAATAGAACAGAAGGAACAGTATTGATTTTTTTTTTTTTTTTTACTATTTTTTAGTTGATTTCACTTTTGGAAGTTGATTCCTTTTTTTTCTTCTATATAATATCCTCCAGGCTGCAGTCCCTTATGGGCTTTTATTAATAATAAAAAACTTCAAAGAAGAAAGTGGAAGTAAGTAGCACCAATGACCTTACTAATCCTAGTTACACTTGTCTATTTGGCCTATTTGAATATCTTAAAATGTGATTATTGAGAATAAAATATTTAAAATGTGATTATTGAAAATAAAATATAGTCCACTAAATACTGTGATTACCAGGAGATAGACAGTGGTTGAAACAAGAACTGTGCAAAATCTGCCCAAGTATGCATCAGCAACAAACCCTCCTAGTAATGGCATCAAAGTGGTGACACCTGTCCAGTAATTCACACTTTTTGCTGCTGTTTTTAGGTCTTGATGAATAACCTTAGTTAGGTATATAATCAGACTTGTGGCTATTCCAAAGTAACTCAGCCTTTCACTGAATTCAATTGCTGTTACATTCAAACACAACTCATTAGTTTTCTCCAATTACTTAATAGTAATAAAGGATATAAGATGTATAATACATCATGTATTCAAGAAAATAAAAATATAATACCCTGAAAATTATAGAACAGAGTTTCATTTCAAAAAGCAACTGAAAAAGCTATTGAATTTAACCCAAAAGGAAAAAAGAAAAAAACAGATACAAAAGGAATTCATGTACAAATTACAGGATTCTCCGGGGTCTGGAAGTGATATAAATTTACAAATCTGATCCTTAGGGCAAGTATCCTATTAGCTCTGCTTTTCTTATACTACATTTGTTTCAATTTAGATGAGATAGTTTGATACGGCACCAAGTTTAAGAAAAAAAAACTTTTGAAACTTGTAATTTTAAAAACTTAAGGGGTAAAAGCTTCATGGGATGATGACATTTGTGTGATTATAAAAGTTTTCATTAAGGGTAAAATGAAGAGTTTAAAGTTGAATTATTTTCAAATTTAGAAATGTGTTATTTATTTTAGAACACACTAAAAAAAAAGTACCTCATCTAATTTGAAACGGAGGTAGTAATTTGTTTGGCGCTTATACAATTGTAGCTTGTTTGGATGGTTGTTACCTATTGTATTGTATGGTATTGTTACTTTAAACACAATGTTTGTTTTGATTGTTATTTAATTTTTGTTATATCGTATCGTCAAAATATGTTGTTACATAACGATAAAAAGTGCCACTTTATGGAATGACCGATTTGGTGTGGTCGCGTTGTTACATTATTTTTTTGTCTCATCTTGTCCTTCCTCATTATTAAATAATCTTATGTTATCCTTTACCCGACCTTTTAATATAATAATTCTACCTCATACCTTATTTTTTTTCTTTATAGTATTGCAAGTTTATTCTTCATATTATTGGTGCTTGACATCATGAAATGACGGCAAACAATACAATCTAACCAAACATTGTATACATCACAAGAATATACAATACAATACTATACGATGCATAACAACCATCCAAATAGCTTATTTTGAAAAGTATTTTTCTCATAAGTGCTTTTCAAGAAAGTACTTTTGATGAGAAGCAATTTGTATTTGACTAATTAATTCGATTTTTTTTTAGCAGCAATTCGTATTTGACCAAACTTTTAAAGAGCTTCTAAATGTAGTTTTCTCAAAAGTATTTATAAAAGGTGCTTTTGAGAAGAAGTATTTTTCTGTGCTTCTCAAAAATTGTTTCTACTTCTACTCAAAAATACTTTTTCCTTATAAAAGTTTGGCCAAACACTTTTAACTCCGAAATAAAAATACTTTTTAGCAACAAAAAAAGTGTTTTCGGCATAAAAAGGGACTTCGCCAAGCAGGCTATTAGTGGCAATTAGCTATGCTTTTTACTTATTAAGATATGATATTTGTTGCGTCATAAATACTCCTCGTCTTAGGTATTGGACCACTTGGGTAGAATCTAGGCAATTAGGAGTCTAGTTTTGGAATTTATGCTGTGGAATACAGTTCTTCACGATTATCTATAAAAAGAGTTACTGAGAACCAATGAGTAGTTATATACCCTTGGCTATGTGCTACTTTCCACTTAACCAAACTTATTACTTTCTCCGTTTTAATTTAAACTTATTTGACTGGATACGAAGTTTAAGAAAAAATAAAGATTTTTGAAATTTATGGTCCTAAACAAATTAAAAAGGAGCCTAGAGTATTTGTGTGGTTATAAAAGTTTCTAATTAAGGGTAGAATTGTAAGCTTAAGCTAAATTGTTTCCAAATTTAAAAAGGGATCATTCTTTTTGGAACGGATCAAAAAAGAAATAGGTTCACATAAACTGGAACGGAGGGAGTATTAAGTTATCAAAAAGTGTATGCAGTCAGATCTCTCTATAACAATATCTTTATATAACAACACTTCTTTATAAAAGTCAAACTTTTTCGGAACCAGATCTCATGTTCTATAATAATATATGTTTTCTATAACAGCAATTCACTAATATTTGAAACAAACAAAGTTGTTACAGAGAAATTTGACTGTATCTTGATAACTACAGTCTACACTCTACAGTACCCAAAAAGTGACCATAGAACTCTTTAGTGGTTCTCATTACATAGAGACTTTTCTCAAAGGGTAATATTCTTTTAACTGACAGAGAATCACTGATTAATCGAAGTTTATGGGCCTCTAATTCTTCTTATATTAATCTTAATACTCTCTGGTCCATTTTATAAGTCGTTTGAGTCAAACAGATATATTTTAAAATAAGTGTTGCTTTAGAAAATCAAGAAGGTTTATCATTTTAATAAACGGACGTACAATTTTTTAAAAAGTCTTTCAGCACTTATTACTCATTTTGAGGAGAGATATAAGGTAATTTAGTCAAAAAAAAATCTTTACTATTAGTGCTATAAAAATAACCTTTCAATAGATGTATTAAAACCTTAAACAAGTTTAAAAACGACTGTATGTAGTATATGAAAGGGTTTAAAAGAAAGAAGCACCTGAATGCAACATATTAGGAAAAGAAAAACCATCAAACTCTACTGGACCATGTCAATAGCTTTCTGTTTAAGGAACTGACAACAGATAATCAGCTCTATTAAAAACATACTCTCTCCGGTCCAAAATAAGTAATTTTTTGGTCTTTTTCTTGTGGTCCAAAATAAGTGATTTTTCCAGATTTCAAGAATGAATTAATTATTTTTTTTCCTACATTGTCCTTGGAGTAAATAGTGTTGGAATATGTGTTAGGAGTGTTTATGTGAGATAGTAACGGTTAATATGGTCAATTTCATTGCTAATTAATGTTAAAAGGAGGATTTCTTAATCTGTATGAAAACATCCAAAAAATCACTTATTTTGGACCGGAGAGAGTGCTATATATTAAAGGGGAAGATATTTCAAGATATATGAATATGAGTCCCAAACTGTTGCTGCCTAAGCAGGGGCGGAGCTAGAAGGCTGAATACGGATTCGATCGAACCCAATAGATTTTGTTCAAACAGTGTATTTCAGTTAAGAAATTTACTGAATGTATACAAATATTAAATTAGAATCCAATTATTAATACTTGGAATAATTGTTTTAAAATTCATAACACATAAAATTGAAATTCTAGCTTCACCTCTATACTTAGTGCTTCAAATGGTGGCCTCAAGCACAGCAAACTTCAGAGCCTGACTAATGGAAGTTGTTTTCTGAAAGTCTTTTTATATGGAGAGCTTTCTTTGCCAATAAAGACCAAACATCAGCCAAATTCATAAAGTAAATACACTAAACTTGGTTCCTCCTCCAAAGTGGTTTCACCACCTTAATAAAAAAAGGCAGCTCAATCACTAAGCTTTCGCTATATGTGAAGTTTAAAAAAGGATCATACCATAAAGATCTATTATACTCAGTCTTATCCTATATTTTTGCAAAAGATTATTTCCCTAATAAAAACGGTTCTATATAACTATCAAATCAGGTTAAAAGTAATCATAGCGGTAACCTTGAAATAAATTAAGTAACCTTCTACAACATGTCAAATTCCACCATTTGTCTAAAAATTCATTTATAAGATCAGTGAAAAAGAAAGGGCAGCCCGGTGCACTAAGCTCCCGCTATGCACGGGTCCGGAGAAGGGCCGGATCATAAGGGTCTATTGTACGCAGCCTTATCCTGCATTTCTGCAAGAGGTTGTTTCCACGGCTTGAACCCGTAACCTCGTAGTCACATGACAACAACTTTATACGACAAGTGAATATAAGATATATCCGTAATTTTATAACTTTGCAGCAAAAACAAACTGAATTGTTTACTTTTTGTTCTTGATCATTGAGACGTAGAGGGAATTAAGTGAAACATGTGTGTGCATGTGACATTTATTAGATGAATTCTTACCAATAATCAAGAAAGAGGCTTTCCAGCCACCAGTTGAAGCCCTAAGAGGAACTCTTCCTTTGTAATCAACTGAAGAGTCATAAACCCATTTCTGCTCATCAATTTCTACTGCTTTTCCCATCTTTATCTCATCCATTTCAACATTTGTCTTTTCCATTTCTCTAAGATAATAAACAAGATATGTTGTTTGTAAGTTGGCAGCTTTGTTTTGCTTTTATTCTCCTTATATAGGAAGAAGAATCCCCGGCTGACTTCTGAGACTATAAGAGCCAAAAGAATATAATGTTGAAAATAAAATAGATTTTCTTGACAATGATTGTAATTAAGTAATTAAAAGCTAAGAAAAGAAACAGTTCCTTCCACTAGATTAAAGTAGTATCACTGGCCTTTAAACAGGAGGAATGGCATCCATATTGCTTTCAATTAGATTCTCCTTTTAAAATGGCCATGATAGATGATCACGCCCAACTATGCCTTATAAAAAGGACAATGCGGCCGTTACAAATATAACCCGAGTATTACGCCCAGGGTCGAATCCACAGAGAATTAACCTATCAACCGCTATCTTCAGACCCACCAAGTCTTCAGAACCAGCTTCTCAAATATTCAAATTCTCAGTTGAGTGTTCTTTAACAACTAGCTTGCAAGTAACTAAATGGCTGTAACTAAATTAATAAGGTTGTAAACAATTATGGGACAAAGCTAAGGCAATGATTTCCCCTATTGATGGAATCCCTTCTGTTTATGCTCATACAAATTTACCCACACATCTCTATCAATCATGAACGCTAATCTTACCGCAAATCTCTCCCGAGTAATCACAGTAATATACTATTGCACTCTCCCGAGATACACTAGCTTGCTTTATTTAGCACAATTCAAGTTAGATTGCACCCAAGGCTTCGTTATTCCTAATCCCGCCTTTAAACCCGCAATTATAGATTCCTCTAATAATCTAGGAGTAGTGTTGTTCAACAATACCCTAAATATGCACTCTTTTCCAAGTTATGCACACTAAATAGGCACAGCTAATTGAGGATCATGTCAATTAACTACAACGAACACGAAGTTTAACAAATAAAGATTAAACTAGCAATTTGTATTCACATAAACAAGAAGTTCATCACCCAATAGGTTCCATCAAAGCCTTAGACAAGGAATTTAGCTACTCATGGATATGGGAAAATAAACTAAGCTTGAATTCATCATAAAATCAAAAGAAAAGAAGAAAGATGTTTAGAGTATTTTCTCACAATGGTTTTCCTTGCTAAGAAACCTAAAAAATCAATACATGCCTCTCTTGGGCGAAGTCTAGTGTTTTAAATAGGTTTTAGGTCTAAAAATCCCGTAATTGACACTTTGGTCCCCGATGCCGTGGCAGAACCGCGGCCAAACACCCTCGCGGATTCTCAATCTTCTGCAGCTGCTTCCCACCGCGGTTCTGCCGCGGTCGCGGTGGAACCGCGGTGGATCCAGTATTCTGAATCTTTGGCCTGTTTTGCATGGGTCACTTGGGAAATTTCACAATTGGCCTCTTTTCATCACTTTTAACTCCAAAACTGCTCCTTAGCCTTCCTTATACATATATCACCTACAAATCATGCAAAGCACTAATAAGGGCATTTTGTCATCACTTTTAGCATTAAAACTACACAAGAAGGTGATTATTTAAGGTGTGATTACAGTCAAATTCACCTATTATCAACACCCCACACTTAAACCTTTGCTCGTCCTCGAGCAAACTAAACCGCACTTCTAGGCCTAACTGTTCAATGCATTGCCCCAATTTATGTCACACCTGCTATTATCAATGATCGACCCAAGCAGTGCACAATCATATCTCAAATGCGGACTCTCATGCCAAGACACACTTGTGCTCACTCTAATTACTCTAACAGAAGTGAAGACTCACTTTTTCTTCCTGAGTCACATGCCCTCACATAAACAAAATCTGAGAGAAGTTCCACACACATAAAATTCAACAATAAGGAACCATATATAGAAAGAATTCACTCACTCTCAGCAAAGAGCATTCACATGCCACACAGACACACCATAAGCTTGCCCCTAGTGTAATACTCTACTAATCGAGCCATTCAGTCAAAGATCAAGAGGTCTTTATAGGTTGTAATGTAGGCTAAGGGACGGGTAGGATATATTTGGATATAGTGACTAACCTCCCTAAGCACTTTTAATACAACTTCCTTTTGTTTCACCTTCATGCTCAACCCAATCATTATTTCACATTTTGTTTCACTTGTGACCCCCACTTTTCGTTAGGTACAACTGGCTTTTTTTTTTTTTCTTTTCTCTCTTTTTTTTCCAGATTTATTGTACACTGCCAGTTCACCAACCAGAACCTTCATTCTTGATTCCTTTTTTTTTTTTTTTTTAGTTCTCTCCCACCCCACACTTTGACTTTTGTATATTCTTTAGTGATTAAGTGCTTCTAGGAGGTAAGGGTTCAAACAATGAGCTTATTCAAACACAACGATTTAGATTATTATAGGGTTATCAAAGAACAGGCTTCAGGCTCAAAGGAGTTAACTATGGTAGTATGCACAGGTGGATTCTCAAGTATAAAGGGTTGCACAAAGAAATGCCTCAATCATCTCTAAGACCAAACGACTTCTATTTCGCTTTGCAAACACACAGGGCAAGTTCTAGGTATCATATGTCGGCATAGGATGCAAGTAACAACTCACACACACTTAGCATGTAACTCATTCCGAATCAGTTCATCAACACAATCATACGAGTGTTCAAGCCAGACAAGATGTGCAAAATTAAGGCATATATTATGAGTCCACAAACAAGCTTAGACCTTACACCCTTCGTTTTCTTTGCAAGTGTGCACATTTGGGGTTACATTCTGACCTTCACCCATTTAATCCTAAAACTATAAAAGAAAAATCTACCTAACCCGGTTCAAGAAAAACCCTTGGAAAAGAACCGTGGTCAAAAGAAAAACCAAGGGGGAGGTACTACACTACCTAAAAGAAGAAAATAAAATAAAAAAAAATTCTACATGGACTACTTCCCTCAAGAGTACTGTCCACATAGTCCGTCATCAGGGAGAGTCCTCTACAAGTTTTTTTTTATTTTTTTTTATTTTTTTATTTTTTTATTTATATATATATCTGACTTTGACCCTCAAGAGACCTGTCAACAAGTTTCCGTCGTTGGGCCAAGTCAGCTACTCCTAATATAACACACTCACATATGTACAACACATCTAATGCTACAACACAACAACAGCTATATACATGTCAATACACAGTTAGAGCAAGTCTCCCACCCCACACTTAAAATTATGGCATGTCCCCATGTCATATCAATAAAGTAAAGAGCAGAAGGGTGAGAAGACTTCCCTGAGAGTCAATCCGAGTCGGAGACGGTGCTGGGGTCTACATGGCAGGCCCTCCCCAATGCGCGTAGCCAAGCCATAAATCGGCTCTCAGATCTAGCTTGCCTCTGTGACATGGCGTCCATCCGTGTGTGTAGACCATCCACCGAGGTGCGGAGATCCGCGACCTCTTCCTCCAAGGAGCGCAGCATAGGCCGGGAGGACTGTGAGCGTGATAGGTCTGCTCCAGAATGGGAGCGCCAAGAGGGCCCGACACTGTCAACAGACCTCCTGGACGGTGCAACAGGGACCGGATCATCCTCCTCATCATCAATCTCAATTGTGGTGCGGGTGCCCCTGCCCACTCTGATGCTAGAAGCTTTGAAAGCTTCTTTGGGAGGCAAATCGCCATCAGCAGGGTTGGTAGGGGTGTTTCTCATCAAGCACAATGTGGTCACTAAGGAAGGGAAATAGAATCCCTTTGTCAGCAGCGGGCCCCGTAAGACCATTTCATCTCCAATTACCCGTGCCGCATCAAAATCCTTCCCTGTCACAAAGCACCAAGTCAA